AAAAAAGAAAAGAAAAAAATGAAAGATTGTTGTACCAAATTTATGGAAGAGTTTCCCTTGCTTTCCTTCGGGCTTTTGCTTTGCTTCGCTGATTTCCTCCAAATTCATATATTTTCTCCCGAAAGGAAACAATATGTTATTGTCAAATGAAATGACTAAATTATCCTTGCAATCTCTCGGCAAAACTCTACTTTTAGTCCTTTACCTTATCACATTTTGTAAGTTTTAACTTATCACTTTATAATATAACATTTTTAGCTCCTTACCTATTAGAATTAAAGAAAATAATTATCACTTATAACATTTTGTTAGTTTTTTTAGTTAATTGTTAATTCTATTAGCTGATTATTAGTTAGTAAAAATTTATTTTCAGCTAATAGAGTTGGCAATTAGTTAATAAAATTATTTTGTTAGTTGATTGTTAATTGATTGTTAGTTGAAAAAACTTACTTTTAGTTAACAGAATTAATAGTCAGTTAACAGAATTAATAAAATATTATAAATGTGAGGGTTATTTTCTTTAATTTTAATAGGTGAGGACTAAAAATATTATAATATAAAATGAGGAGTTAAAATTTATAAATCTAGTAAGATAAAGGGCTAAAGTAGTTTTTGCCGCAATCTCTCACGGGTTTCTCTTCCCCTTTCCCCTGTCTGCAACTAATTTTGTAACCATTTTTCCTGCGATTTTATTAGGGTTTTCCGATTCAAGAAAAAACAAAAACAGAAAGGAACCCCCCAATTCCGATAATTTCAATTTGAAAAAATTACTTTCTCCGGCGATTCCTAGGGTTTGTATTTCATGTCCTGCGAAGCTTTAATGTCGTATGAATGGAGATTGCCTCTAGCCTCTCCAGCGCTTTCCAGTCCCAGCAACCTTTGATCATTGCCTCCATCATTACTCTCCTTTCCCTCCTCCTTACTCTCCGATCATTCATCAAGAAGCCCCCCTCCTCCGCTTCCTCTGCCTCACTCGATAAGGAAGAACCCATACCCACCCCCTCCTCCTGCAACGGAACTGCCGATTCTCTGGACCTCTACGCCGGCGCTTCTGCTCAGGAGGTGATGGCGGCGGCGGTGGTGGCGGTGGACATTATGCCGGCTCCGGTTGTTGAAAGACAGACTGGCGCCTCAATGATGGAGCAGTTGGTGCCCGAAATTACCACTCACGCTCTCAGTTACTTGGATTATCCCAGCCTCTGCCGCCTTTCTATGACCAATTCGCTTATGAGAAAGGCTGCTAATGATGACAATGCCTGGAAAGCGCTATATCACAAGGTAAAATAGTCACTGGAATTTAATTTCTGTTTTGCCTCTGTAATATTGGTTGATTATTTCCTGATTACCATTAGTGACTGGAAAGATGTAGATTTTCCACCTGTTGGGGATATGGTTTTGACAAGAGATTGTTTTGATGAGGGTTCTGGTTTCAATGACCATGGTAGATAAGGGTAGGTTGATTTATTACTTCTGAAACTTTTATGAAATAAAGATATCGTAGTTCCCGGACAAGAAACATGAAGATTTAGTAACTAACATGCTTCCATGTAAAGGGTATTTTTTATTATTCCTTTCTCAGTTGTTTTTATGTTATGTCTTCTATTTTGTTGGAGTTTAAAGAATGTTAGAAAAAGCATGCATTTGATTTGACTTTTTAACCCATCTTTTCTCCATGCTTGCGAATCCAGCATTTATAAGTTTTTGTTACCTATATCATGTTATAAGTTTTGACTCCTGGTTTTCCAACTCTGTACCAGGCATTGCTTCATAACTTGGCTGGCAATTCTAGATAGGCTAGCTATCTACTAAATTCAATGTAGCAAAGTGGTCTTCTGCAATTATGCATCTTATGCAATGCAGCAAGTGAATTAAGAGATCACTTGCTCTTTGCATTGTCCCTATTCTAGTGCTACAAATCCCTGTTATTCTTTGTTGGTCTGCTTTGCTATCATGGTTTTGTTACAAAGTAAAACGTAGAGCCCTTTACAGTCATTTGATTGAACTAGTATGGGGTGTTTCAGTTTATCATATATGGTTGGAAAGAAACAGCTCCAACCAACAGCAGCATCCACCAATGAGTCTACAGATTAGAATCTGCAATCACTGATGCTATTAAAGTCGATGTCAGGGACGGGGCTCTTGGTTTTGCAAAATGAGGGCCTCCCTTATGTCAAGTGATGTAGCTTCTCACTTCAGGCTGCAGCTTCTATGTAGTTTGAATGGATAATGATTTTCTGAAATAGGTATATTTGTTTTACTGTCCTATGGATACTAGCAGTCCAGTGTAAGTGCTGCTTTGAAAATATTGATTCTTTGTGTAATAAATTCACATTTTACCTAAAAACAATGGACCTTTGGCCTTGCCATGTTAAGTTAATTGCACATTGCTTTCTGGATTCTTGGTTTGTATGCATAATTTCCTTCTTACATTTATTTTGTTAGGATTTTACTTTGGAGCAAGATAGTGTCACACCAGTAAATGGTTGGAAGGCTTACTATGCAGCTACAAGAGCTATTATGAATGTTAATGAAGAATTCTTTAACATCATCAGAGAAAGGTCTCTTGCAGCCATGAGTCATTTTTGGCTTAATGCAGATTATGTAAAGTGCATTCTTGCCTCAGGAGAACATTTTTCAGGGTATAGTGGCTTCCATTCAATATTTTAATAAGTGATTAGTATTTGGTTTTTTTGATATTGATGGAAAATTATTACATCAGTAGTCTTCTACCACAATCTAGGTTTACTCTGTCTCATGAGTTCGCCAACTAATTAGCTTTCTCATGTGTTCTTAAACTTCAATTCATGCTTCTCAAATGTTTGCTTGCATTACTTGCTTTTTAGGCTTTGGTTGTTGCAGTATAATTTGTTTGGCAGTACTAGGCCTGACATTTGCCATGCGTTTGCTTATTTTATGTGTTTAAAAGTTTTTAACCATACTGTGAAAATGTTTTCTACCATCACAAACTTGCCATGAACTTTTTCTCTCTCTTTTCCTTTCCTCCAAGTCTCTGGTCCTCAGTGACA